CTCCCTTCTGTGTTTCAAGTAATAATAGTATCTTTAACATCCACGTGGAACAGACAGGACAACCAAAAAAAAGGACAACGTCACAACCAAAAGGCCAGCAATGCAGCCCCTGCCCCCTCTCCCCCTTCAGCATTGCATTGGAGTCAGTCTATCAGCTCAATAGACACAACACAAAGTTTGAACCCACAACTTTCTGACTCACAAACCAATTTTAAAAACTAAATTTAAGGCGACTAATACATAACCACTCAGTCGCATTCTCTAATCTATTATTACAATTTATTATGCCAGCCAGTTATAGAGTGACACTCTCAGCACGATACAAATCAGGATCATAGAAATGATGTATCTGGGCTGGATCTCAATTGCCCGTTGGGTTCCACGTGGCTGCCCCTCACCCCCTTATCACGCTATATTTTTCGTTTTCAGATATTTGTTGATAATTCGAAAGAGGTGTTTAAAAGATTATCTGAAAAATGATCTGGTTTAATAAGTACCCAGACAATAACATCAACAAAATTCTGAATAATAATTTGAGTTTGATTTGGGAAGGTGGATTCCTGTAGTGTGATATCCTCATATCAATTGCAAGGATTATTATTATTATAACATTGATTTACTAACAAGGTCAATGCAAAGTTTGCTTTTTAAGCTCAGTCGGGTTTTGCACAGTTGCTGCTGTGAGTGACCAGTCTAGAGGGCACATTTGATTCCTGGGAATTAATTTATTTTTCAGGAGTGTAAGTGGGATTGTGTGAGCAGTGAGTGTGTGCTGGGTGGCAGGTTCTCTTGTACGATAGGGTTTCCATGACGCAGCATCAGGTTACTGTATGCAGCTGCTTCAGACTAGAAGATCATTGCTAGGTTGGGCTCCCCCTCCCCACACACAGCCTCTCACATTACCTCCGGCTGACCTACTCGTGGGTCTGAGGACAGAATCCATAATAGCTTTTGAAAAGGGAATTGCAGAAATATTTGAAAAGGAATATTAAAAAAGGACAGAGAGTGGAAATGAAACCAAAGTCAGCACAGGCAGGATACAGCAAATGGCCTCCCTCTGTGCTGTAAAATTCTATGATTCTTTGAGAAGATGAGTCCCTCCACTTTATCCCCACTCTCCTGTCACTGTGGTTATGTTGTGGTTGGAGCCCTGGAGGATGAGGCAGAGAATTGCAGATGGATCCAACCCATACACCCAGCGTGAGGCCACAGTGCAACTAAAACGAGATGGAACTTATGTCTGACGTTGTCAAGTGACCTTCAGCAGACTACATAGCCAGACACGCAGATAGAAACACAGAGGAAAGTTTATTTTTATATCAGTTTCATTCGGAGAGCGGGAGAATTCAGCTTTTATTTTATCAATTGTTAAGACCATAAGAATTTGCTGGTGAAAGAAAACGAAGGTCCATCCAGTTCACGTTCCCCGTCCTGGCAGTCGTTTGACATGTCGTGTCCCAAACTATACACTGTATCCCGAGGTGTTATTAGCATAAATCTATCTAATTTGTTATTGAAACAAACACCACCTTCTGGTCTCCGCAGGGAGGAGCCGCTTCCAATGTTCAAAATATTGTACGTTTCAAATTGAGAAATGAGTCAAAAAAGACAACAAATTTGAAATTTTATTTCAGTGGCTCTGTGTGAATGAGACACGAGGAAAGGCTGAGACAAGGTCTGAGGAAGGAATTAAACTGTCATTTTAGCTTCTTCAATCTCTCCCATCTCAGCGTGAGGATCCAGGTTCGATTCCGGGGTCAGGGGGACACGTTGGGCAAGTTTCCTGACTCCACGGTTTACGTACAGTCAGTGGGATCCCTTTTCTGGGGATAATAATCAATAAATAATAATAATTTGGTCACTTATTCCACGAATGTTTGTGGGACATTGCTGTGCGCAATTGGCTGCCACATTTCCCTACAAAATGTACAGTCAATTCACTTACAGTATATCCTGTGAAGCGCTTTGAGGTGTCTCTCAACGCGATAAAGCACTGCATCAAATGCAAGAATTATTAGTATTATTTCTGGCAGTGGCGCGGGGGCTGCTGGGATTCCTGGCAGTGGCGCGGGGGCTGCTGGGATTCCTGGCAGTAGCGCGAGGGCTGCTGGGATTCCTGGCAGTGGCGCGGGGGCTGTTGGGATTCCTGGCAGTAGCGCGGGGACTGCTGGGATTCCTGGCAGTGGCGCGGGGGCTGCTGGGATTCCTGGCAGTAGCGCGGGGGCTGCTGGGATTCCTGGCAGTAGCGCGGGGGCTGCTGGGATTCCTGGCAGTGGCGCGGGGGCTGCTGGGATTCCTGGCAGTGGCGCGAGGGCTGCTGGGATTCCTGGCAGTGGCGCGGGGGCTACTGGGATTCCTGGCAGTGGCGCGGGGGCTGTTGGGATTCCTGGCAGTAGCGCGGGGACTGCTGGGATTCCTGGCAGTGGCGCGGGGGCTGCTGGGATTCCTGGCAGTGGCGCGGGGGCTGTTGGGATTCCTGGCAGTAGCGCGGGGACTGCTGGGATTCCTGGCAGTGGCGCGGGGGCTGCTGGGATTCCTGGCAGTAGCGCGGGGACTGCTGGGATTCCTGGCAGGGGTGCGGCTGTTGATGCAGGCCCGAAGCCTGGGGGCTAGGGTAGTAGGGCGGCGGGTGGATTGCTGGCTATGGCCGAGGTTCAGGCCCTGGCGGTGGAGAAGGAGCGGGAGGAGGAGGCGGTGTCGTGGAGCCCCGAGGTGGAGGTCTGCCTGTTCCACGCCATGTTGGGGCATAAGCCTGTGGGTGAGTGCGGCCCCGGAGCGGGGGGGGGAGTACACCCAACAAACCCGGGGAATCGGAGTCTGGAGTAAAACTGTCCCCAAAAAACTGGAATAAATGAGAATATTCTGGAAACTGGTGTCAGAGGTTCGTCACCGCGACCTTGTGACCCGGCCGTGTCTGGTCACTGAGCGTCACTGGTCAGTCAGTCAACGTGACCCGTCACGATGTGCGGCCAACTCACAGCGTCCAAACTCACCGCTTCTGTATATCCCCGTCTCCCGCCCCCCCGCTCTCAGCCGCTCTCAGACGCCCCCCCGCTCTCAGCCGCTCTCAGACGCCCCCCCGCTCTCAGCCGCTCTCAGCCGCTCTCAGACGCCCCCCCGCTCTCAGCCGCTCTCAGCCGCTCTCAGACGCTCTCAGCCGCTCTCAGACGCTCTCAGCCGCTCTCAGCCGCCCCCCCGCTCTCAGCCGCTCTCAGCCGCTCTCAGCCGCCCCCCCGCTCTCAGCCGCTCTCAGCCGCTCTCAGCCGCCCCCCGCTCTCAGCCGCTCTCAGACGCTCTCAGCCGCCCCCCCGCTCTCAGCCGCTCTCAGACGCCCCCCCCGCTCTCAGCCGCTCTCAGCCGCTCTCAGACGCCCCCCCGCTCTCAGCCGCTCTCAGCCGCCCCCCGCTCTCAGCCGCTCTCAGCCGCTCTCAGACGCCCCCCCGCTCTCAGCCGCTCTCAGACGCCCCCCCGCTCTCAGCCGCTCTCAGACGCCCCCCCCGCTCTCAGACGCCCCCCCGCTCTCAGACGCCCCCCCCGCTCTCAGACGCTCACAGACGCCCCCCCGCTCTCAAACGCTCTCAGACGCCCCCCCCCGCTCTCAGACGTCCCCCCCCCCCCCGCTCTCAGACGTCCCACCCGCTCTCCGAAGCACTCCCGCTCTCAGACGTCCCCCCCAGCTCTCAGACGTCGTCGTCCCCCCCGCTCTCAGACGCCCCCCCACCCCCGCTCTCAGACGCCCTGGTAACCGTGTGGGATGGTGATCACATTCCTGGTGTTGCTGCGGAAACAAATTATTAATCTGTTCTCTCTGCCGACAGGAGTTAATCGCCATTTCCACATGATCTGCATCCGAGACAAATTCAGTCAAAACATCGGCCGCCAGGTCTCCTCCAAAATAGTGTGGGAACACCTGAACGTCATGTATGACATGCAAGCGCTGGTGAGTCGCTGATGCACCAGCCTTTCAGCATGTCTTGTGGGGGACAGGTAGATAAATTGAGTTGGTTCAATTAGAAACTAACAGCACAGAAGAAGGTTATTCAGCCCATTATGTTAATTACTAAGGAGTGTTCTTTGTGACCTGTGATCCGCAGGGATCAGTACTGGGGCCCTATATATATATAATTTGGATGTGGGAATAGAGAGGACTTCTTCACGTTTCTAATGACACATTCCATTTGAAGTACTGGATTCAGTTGTGGGGACCGTCTGTGGAAGGAGATACTAGCCTTGGAGTAAATGCAGTGACAAGTGATTCTCTGGAAGTCATGGTTTCGGTACGGCGAGAGACCAGATTAAACTTGGTTTATGTTCCTCAGAGTGGAAGAGATAAATAGTGATCTTCTTGATGTGTGGCAAACAATAAAAGGGAATTGACAAGTTAGTTAGGGGACAACCCTTCCTTCTCGTTGTGGACTCCAGAGCAAGGGGTATAGTCGGAATTTATGCAACAATGTAGGAGTGTGAATGCCTGTGTTTTGTATAGATGGCATCTCCCTTGATGGATGGATGCCCTCTACACCTCACAAAACCAATACGGAACCTCGGCGACCTGTTCGACCCTCAACTGTCCTTCACCCCCCACATCCGTGCCATGACCTGCTCCATCTTTCCCCATCTTCGCAACATTGCCCGGCTCTGCCACTGTCTCTCATCACAGGCCGCCGAGACCCTCATCCACACACAGGCTTTACATCCAGGCTCGATTACACAAACTCTCTGCTTGTCGGCCTCCCCAACTCCTCCTTCCATAGGCTGCAGATCATCCAGAACTCTGCAGACCGTGTCCTTTCCCGCAACAGCCTCCGTGACCCTATCACCTCCATCCTCGCCCGACTCCACTGGCTTCGCATCACACAGAGGATACAGTTCAAGATCCTGGTCCTCACCTTCAAAGCCCTCCACAGTGGATCCCTGACTGTCCAGCGCCTTGGGACGTCCTTCCAACATGAAAGGCGCTATACAAATGTAATTTGTTGTTCTTGTTGTAGAGGTTATTTTATGCTGGATGTCCCTCTGCTCTGTGTCTGTCCCCAGCATGAGTCTGAGATTCTGCCCTTCCCGAATGGTGAGCGCAATTTTGTTCTTCCCGAGGACATCATCCACGAGGTGAAGGAAGGTAAGGAGACTGTAACTACTGTGGGACATGTCCTTCCTGATGGTACGTTCCCCCTGTGAAGTTTTCTGAGTGTTAGCAATGTCATCCTGCCAGCACTGTGGTGTGTGTGGGAAATCAGTGAGGGGGAGACAGGCGAGTGGGGGAGGGGGGAGACAGGCGAGCGGTGGGGGAGGGAGACAGGTGAGCGGGGGGGGGGGGGGGAGACAGACGAGTGGGGGGTGAGACAGGCGAGTGGGGTGGGGGGGGCAAGTGAATGGGGGGGAGACAGGCGAGTGTGGGAGAGGGGAAGACAGGCGAGTGTGGGAGGGGGGGAGACAGGCGAGTGTGGGAGGGGGGGAGACAGGCGAGTGGGGGGGGGAGACAGGCGAGTGGGGGGGCGGAGACAGGCGAGTGGGGGGGGTGAGACAGGCGAGTGGGGGGGGGTGAGACAGGCGAGTGGGGGGGTGAGACAGGCGAGTGGGGGGGGGGAGACAGGCGAGTGAGGGTGTACAGAATAGAGACTCACTGGGATGATCTTGGGACCAGAGGAATGAGGCTGTTTTTGCTGGAGGTTGGGATGGGATGTAATAAAGGTTTTCAAACCTGAGTGTCTCCAGTGAACTGACCATTACACCTCCAGTTAAAATCATCATTCACGTAACGGCTGTTTGAAGGACATTGCTGTGTGCAAATTGGCTGCCACGTTTTCTTCCGAATATCCAGTTGCTGCACTTGACAGTAATTCTCTTGGAGTTGTTTCAGCATGGTATGCTCTGGATCAATTGTAAGGATTATTACAAAGAGAGCTATTACAAAGAGAAAGTGGTAAACAGTGTGGTAGATAGTAGCAGACTGCAAAGGGACACGGACAGACTGGTAAAATGGGCAGACACGTGGCAGGTGAAATTTAATGTGGAGAAATACAAAGGTAATTACTTGGGGAGGACAAGTTTGCAGGGCTATGGGGAGAGAGCGGAGGAGTGGGATTGATTTGGAAGCTCTGTACAAAGAGCCCGGCACAGATACGATGGTCTGAATGGCCTCCTTCTGTGCTGCATAATTCTATGATTCTATAAACTGGGGTCAGGAGTGAGCACCAGAACAGCCACATTGGGCCAAACAGCCACCACCTGCCCATAAACCTTCTTTACTCTGTGATCCACTATTGAGCGCATTGGCGAGTTTTGAGGATTCAGATAGCATTGGTACCAGAGTCAGTCTGGTTAACTGCCTCCACACTATTGTGACTCTGGTTGCACCCAAACCAGCTGTGCTGTGGCAAACAGATGTGGAGGTTTCACTAGCTGATAGTCCTGTCCTGCTCACTGTCAGGCTCCGATGTGTAACACTCTTCCTGTCACAGGGACAGCAGGAGCCGAAGAGGAACCGAAGGAAGAACAGAAAGAAGAGATGTCTGAACAGCCTTCCCTGGAGGAGGGTACGTATCAGGCTATGCGCTGTCCGTGACTGGAAATGTTAGATAGCTGCTTGAAAGACAGGAATATCAAAGGTTTGGATCGAGTGGAATGAGCTGCGATTATTGCTCATGTGGAGAATGCCCTCAGTGTAATGATGGCCTGAGGGACCGGTTTCTTTGCTGTAACCTTGGGTGATTCTATCAAATTCTTGTGTTGTGTTGAGCCGGGTCCTTGGGCACTGTTTGTGGGTCTGATTCCATGCACTTTTCTTATTGTTTGTGGAGTGTGGTGTAACCGTAGGCTCCTGTGATCGTGTCAGTGCGCAGAGTGGAACAGCTACACACAGTACAGGTTGGGTAAACCCGCCTCTGCTCAGCCCCAAGCACAGAGCACACCCACACACACTAGGGAGACCTTTCTCATTTTGGTGGCCTCCCGAGTGAGGTTCCTGTCTCACACTGAGTTGTGGGCGGCCCCAGTGCTCACTGACTAGCTGGAGGCTGTCTCATTGCACTAATAAGAGGAGATTTTCATCCCATTCTTAAGCGGAGCTTGAACCCTGGTTTAAGTGATAATATGCCCTAGAGCAGCCCACAGCTTTCTGTGTGTCTGGAGACTCTGATCTCTTTAAGCTTTCTGCCTCTGCAGGTAATACAAAACCATTGGAGAAGTCGGTGGCCAAAGAGAAAGGGCCTGGCTGTGGGGAACCTGGGGCCAAAGAAGTGATTGACAAGCGGAAGAGGAACCGAGCCACAAGCCAACCTGCTCAGTGCAAACAGCAACCCGTCCAGCCCGAGCGGGGCCAAACGCCGACGGGTATAGACCCCACCTGCCCCTCCGCGGACCCCTAACAACACTCCGCAGCACTGCGATTCACACTGAGCCTGAACTGTAGCTGAATAAACCTGCTGCAAAAGTGCAACCAACACGGCTGCTGCAGCAGCAGCTGCTCCTCAAACAGCAGCCGGGAATCATGAGTGATAACAGGCAATGCAAGCCTGGCTCCAGCCTGAGCTCGTGTGCGGTGTCACCGAGCAGAGGGACTGCTGACTGACCCTGCCATTGGGCTTCTGGTGACGGACACGCAGCTGAAATCGGCCCCGCCCGCCAGGGCAGCTGTGGGCACTGAGGGATGGACACTGGTGTAGTGTGACACAGCCTCAGCCTCACCTGCTCTCAGCCTCGCTGTGCGGTTCACCAGCTTGGATCTTCATGTTAGTTATGTTCCGTGTGGCACATATGTTTTAAACGTGTGATTTATGTTTTTCAAACCCATTTGTTATTAAAGCCAGGTTCAATCTCTCCTCTTGCGCCTGTCTGACAAACCTTCTCAGCCTTTGAGTGCAGTGGGGTTGCCGTCTGGCCTCTGCACCTCTTTCTCCTTGAGGGACAGTCCCACTGACTCCCAAGTGGCCCCCAGACCCAAACCTTCATGTTACCAGCTCAGCCTCCGCAGCCAGACCAGTGATCTGAACCTGCTTAATGCTCAGTGTCTGATTACAATGTGGACGGGAGCATTAGGAAATGAGCCTGTCAGTCAGTTAGACAGTCAGTCATTATAGAGAGGCCTCGGGGACAGAACACACTGACAGGAGTGAGGAACACTCAACCGCAGGACATCACACTCAACGTTACAGCTGTCATCTGGCAACCTGCAGCCTGGGCACTGAGACCCGGCCAGGGGTAACCACAACCGCTGGCCTGGCTGAGACGGAACTCCTCAGAAATCAGGAATATGTGATTGCTTAAAAGTACTATAATCCTTGTATTTGATACAGCGCCTTGTCACGTCTTTGAGACGTCTCAAAGCACTTCATAGAATATGCTGTAAAGTGTAGCGACTTATTTTGCGGGTGAAACACGGCAGCCAATTGCACACAGCAGTGTCCCACAAACAGTTGTGAATTGAGTGACCAAATTATTATTATTTATTATTGAGTGACCATGTTACTGACCAAGAGTGATCAAATCAGTCAAGTGGCTGATTCTCAGAGTGAGGACAGTGGATAATTACCCTCCTCTCACTACCTCAGCCCCAACACCACGAGGACCAATTCTAACAGAACCCAAATAATATTTTACACAATAACATGTTTCTAATTCCAACACCTGCCACAAGTTGGTCTGTAGCTTTGTGCTGCCAGTGCAAGGCAATGTTTGCTACTGTGTCACCAGGGGACTTTTGTACAACAGAAAACCTGGAATGCCTTCCTCCATCAGGCAGTGTCTGAACCCAGCCCTGTTCTTCCAGCTTCCGCCAGCTTCAGTGAGGGGTTACTTTGTATTCTCTAGCCGCTGATAAGATCCATTCGCTTGTCTTTACTCTCTACTGAGCGGGTGTGTTTGTGCTGCAGTCACACAGGGAGGTGCTGAGCTGGGCTGCCTGAAGCGAGGGGCAGTGCGGAGCCTGCAGCAGGAAGACCTCACCCCAGGACACACGTTGGTGCTGGTGAGTTTACAATATCCTTGTGGTGTTTGTGTTCTGGTGATTGAAGGCAGTGAGTTTGATGGTGGATCTTGGCTTCCCTCACATGTGAAAGTGAAAGGTCTGGGTTCCTGAAAGGATTTTGCTGAGGATGAAGTGTGAGTTAGCTGATTAGCTGCTGGTTTTATTTACACCTCCCAGGGTCAATTCCCACTGTCTGCATCTCCATTGCTGGGCAGTCAGTGGCAACATATATAAGTAGCCCCCACCCCCCCAGTCCGTTTGACAGTGGCGGAGCACAACGCTGAGCCAGGGGGACGGAGGAGGTAACCATAATAATAATAATCCTTGCATTTGATATAGCGCTTTTCACGTCTTCTAGACGTCCAAAGCGCTTCACAGAATATACTGTAAAGTGAATTGACTGTATATTTGTGGCGAACGCGGCAGCCAATTGCACACAGCAATGTCCCACAATCAGTCGTGGATTGAAAATGACCAATTTATTATTGTTTTGGTTTTGGAGGATTATTATTAGGCTCTGTGTGGAGTAAGGAAACTTGCCCAAGGTTTCGCCCTCTGCCGGGAATCAAACTCAGGTCTCTCACTTGCAAAGCGAGTGCTCTAACCACTGAGCTCGGGCACGGTCGAAGAGGGAGGTTGTCAGGAGCGATCTGAAGATGGTGAAGGAAGGGGCAAGGAAGAGGGATAGATGGAGAATATTCCAGAATTTGGATTGTAGTGATTGAAAGTGCAGCGGAGGGCACGAGGGACAAGCAGGAAGCTGGAGCCAGTCGAGCGGAGGCAGTGGGTAGTGGGGTGGGGAGTAAGCAGGTCAGAGAGAGAGTGATGTGCCAGGGCATGGAGGGATTTGAAAATGAGTGTGAGGAACTTGAAATTGATTTGTTTGGGGATGGGAAGCCAGTGGTGAGGACTGGGGTGATGGGGGGACGGAATTTAGTGCAGGAAACGTTATGTGGGCTGCCTCAGAAGCCTTGCAGGTTGAATCGAATGAGACAATTAAAAGGGACAAGAAAAGGGTTATGGGGGTAAAAAAGTGGGGAAATAGAATTGAAAGATCAGATGAGATGTTAAACCGAGGTCCTGTCTGCCTGTTAAAGATCTTGTGGCTCTGTTCGAAAAGAGAAGGGAGTTTCTGACTTCTGGTGTCCTGGTCCTCAAATCCCCCAAATAAAATTGTTCGCTCACTCCATGCCTATACCTGGTGATCAGGTGAGGACAGATATCAATAGGCTGCTGATGGCTCAGCAATGGAGAGTGGGCACTAACGGAGTCGTGTGGGTAGCAGCGAGGTAAAGAGGTAACAAACCATCCCGTATGATATACTGACTGCGTTGGTACACCTCAAACTGTTTGAATAAATGAACTCTCTAGAGCAGCCTCCAGCCTGATTTCTGACTCTCTGTTTTCAGTGAACTGAAAGTGCACTGATGGCGGAAGGCGGATCATCTCCTTGTACAGGCGGTAAGTGCCACACACGGGTTCAGCTTGGTGCCCTCTCTGGGTGCCCTTTGTGCTGCCAACCACACACTCACCCTCACACACCCGTGCCCCCAACCACACACTGACCCTTGCACACCCACTGTACCCCCAACAATACCCTCTGTACAAACCCTACTGTCGAACATCTCCCCCAATCCCAATTCCCCCAGAAATTCACTTTAAAATGCCTCCTCATTTTTGTTGTTTGTGGTACTTGAGCTCACTGGCTGCCTTATAGAAACATAGGAACAGGAGTAGACCATTCAGCCCCTCGAGTCTGCTCCACCATTCTATTAAATCACGGCTGATCTGTACCTCAACCTGAATTTTCCGCCTTTGCCCCATATCCCTTGATCCCCTGACCTAACAAATATCTATCCACCTCAGTCTTGAAAATCTGAATGGATCCATTATCCACTACCTTTTGGGGAAGAGAGTTCCAGATTCCCACTGTCCTTTTGGTGGAAAAACTGCTTCCTGGTTTCACTTGTTTGTCTCCATGTCAGTGATCAGTGGTTAGAGCACTCGCTTTGCAAGTGAGAGACCTGAGTTCAATTCCAGGCAGAGGGCCAAACCTTGGGCAAGTGTCCTTACTCCACACAGAGTAATAATAATCCCTCCAAAACAAAACAATAATAAATTGGTCATTTTCAATCTACGCCTGTTTGTGGGACATTGCTGTGCGCAATTGGCTGCCGCGTTCGCCCAAATATACAGTCCATTCACTTTACAGTCTATTCTGTGAAGCGCTTTGGGACGTCCTCCCGACGTGAAAAGCGCTATATCAAATGCAAGGATTATTATTATTATTATTACTTATTTCTAGATTATTATCATTTCCAGTTAAAGTCACTAACTTAGCTCCTGTCTGGCCTGTGTTTCATGCAGGAAGGGACACCTCCTCCCTCTCCCCCCCACCCCGCCCCCAGCAGCAGGTTTATTTAGCTGCGGTGCTGATTTATATTCCCTACAAATTCACTCCAAAAATTCATCAGCTGCACATCTTGTGTGCTAGACGTCGCTGGTATTAGCTGCCACATTTGTCTCCATTAACAACATTCCCATTGTTTCTAATGAATCCCATCTGCAAAGTGCTATGGGGCGTCTCTTGTCTATGAACGACGCTGTGTAAATGTGTTTGTAGCTGTTGTTGTTGTGAAGTGGAGGATGTCCTGGCCGACGGTAACTGTGTGATACTGTGGGGACTTGGTGATTAGTGACTAAGGAATTGTAGCCGCCGTGGACCTCGCTGTTTGCTCAGTGTGTTACAAGCCACGTTTACTCTCTGATAAACCCCTGTTTGCTGCAGGAACCACAGTAAAGATTGCCATCGCAATGTACAACTTCAAAACACGTGAAGAGGATGAGTTGGCTTTTGAGAAGGGAGAGATAATCAGGGTGCTGAACAAAGTGTGAGTTCCAATGCTCTTGACCTTTCTACACATTGCTTGCAATCTTCTCCCCTCCCCTTGGGTCAAGACACCATGTTTGTCTATGTCTATGACATCGGTGGTGTGGATGTGACCACGAGAGACTGAAGCCCCAGCACTGAGCTCAGGCTACCCTGAGCTTCTGATCTGGTGCATTGATGAGAACCAGAAATGAATTCAGACGGTGGTGTAACCACTGGCTTATGAGCAAATGTCACGATGGAAGTAAAGATCCTGATGAAAGGTCCTGACGATGCTAAGGGCCTCAGAAACAAAGTGTGTGTGTGATTGCAGGAATGATGGCTGGTGGTACGCCAGCTCTCTGAGAACAGAAGCAGCAGGTCTGATCCCCAGCAACTATGTGAAGACCCTGGATGATGAGGAGAATGAACAGATGGCACCAGTGGGGGAGGACGAGGGGTAGGTGCCTGTATTAGTCTTTATTACACAATCATGCCTTCCCCGGCTCACCTGTTGTACCTGGCTGAGTGACACAGTGTCCTGGATTGAGTGACCAAATTTAAAAAAAAAACATTTTTTAAGTGATTATTACCCCGGAAAAGGGATCGCCAATCAACTAACAACCGTGTTTCTACTTACTGCTAAATAAATAACAGAGGCGTGTGAGTGGAGTAAGGAAACTTGCCCAGCGTTTCGCCCTGCCCGGGAATCGAATCCAGGTCCTCTCACTTGCGAGGCGAGTGCTCTAACCACTGAGCTACAGGATTCTACCTGAATGGCACAGTGTCCTGAAAGCTTCACTTCTCAAATATGCGACCCAACCAGTTTGGAACCATTTGCTCACTCTGGCTGGTTTTGCTTTGGTTAAAGTTGTTACGAGCATGATTGTCGGTGTTTAATGTGTGACGGCTTTTGGACAATTCCTTGCCCTGAATAAAGACCGGTTTCCATGTTTCAGATCTGAAGGGCAATGTGCCAAGTCTCCTGCTTCTGATCAAACCATCAGTGACTCAACTTCAGACACCAAACCACTGGAGGAGAGGTAGGTTCCTATGCTCACAGCCTAGAAATACTGTCACTTTCTCTAGTTAATTATTGTCAAAATGTGCTTCCCCAGAGAATGGACAGGCCTGGGAGCTCAGTTAGAGGGGGTGTTTAAAGCTTTTCTAAAAAAAAGAATAATATGGTCACTCTACCCATGACTGTTTGTGGGACACTGCTGTGCGCAATTGACTGACTGCCACGTTTCACCCACAAAATATATAGACAATTCACTTTACAGTATATTCTGTGAAGCGCTTTGCGACATCTCGAAGACGTGATGAGGCGCAATATCAAATGCGAGGATTATTATTATTGAGGCTCCATTCCAATCCAAACCTTCATTCTTCACAATTATGATATAAATATAGAAAATCTCACAGAGAGCGTGAAGCCAGAGTGACAGACAGCCTGGGTAGCTTTCCGCAGTGATTTCTTCATGACCCAGGAGGAGAGAACCATCAGGTAGATAATCTCTGGTTGATTCAAGGTGCACCACTTGCTGTTTATCAGAGAATTAATTCAGCAGAACATCCTGATTACCCGTTGCTCTTTGCCCAGGTCCCGCCCGGGTGAGAATGGCTGACACCAGCAGGAATCCGAAATCCTTGTTCCGGTCGGGTTCTGAGTTGTAACCCATTTGGCTCAGCCACAAGAGGCCGCTGCCCACCCTCTGTCTGCCAGGCAGTACTGGTGGTGTTCAGATTAGCCACAGCAGCCTTGCCAGTCTTGTAGTTTCAAGCTGGCAAGATTGTTATTATTATTATTGTTATTCCATGTTTCAGATCTG